AGTTGTTCTGAAACTAGTTTGTGAAATAATGTTGGTTTTGTTTTTCATGTTGTACGTTGCATCCCAGGCTGCCACTTTGCTGAAACTAGCAGGTCTGGATTTGGCCAGTGGGAGACCATCTTGTGTTCCATGACAGATGAAAGGTGGACTATACATGTAACAGAAAGATAAAAAGCGGGAAAACTGTATGTTGTTTTTGTGCTGATTTTATTGTATTTGGTGCACTGCACTTTATGAATTGTGAACTGCCCAGAAAGCGGTCATTCTGGCCAGTACAAAAATGAAAAAAAGTGGCAAATTGACCTGGGAGAAGGGACCATTCCTTTGTCCCCTTTCTGTCCCTTCTCATCCAAAGGCACACCATCCAAAGTCCAACAGATGGAAGAGAAATTTATTATACACTTATTCCAGGCATGGGTAACTTCAGGCCTGGGGGCCTAATCCAGGTAGCCGTGCCCTCTGTTGTGGTTTCCTGAGTTAGGTGCCCTTTTCCTTTATTCTAAAAGGCTGAAATGTCTCTTCCAGGCTTAATTACTGGCAGGCAAAGGTGTAAACTAAAATGTGATGGTATTATTGTTCCCACTCCTTTCCACTTCCGTCCTGCCCAGCACGGGAAAGTGACCCCTGTGAATTTTTAAAAATTGAATCCAGCCTTTGGGTTGAATCCAGCTCTTCAGAGGCTCTTCTCTCCTAGTCCTGTGCAAAGCTATATTTGCTTTATCAGTGCCCCTAAAAAAGCACTAGACTGTCTGCAAAGGATGCCTTTGAACTGTGGTGTTCATGCATGTGCCCTCAGGACAGCTTGCATGTATCTCTCACTACTGCTGAGATTTAACTTCTGGAGAGCCACAAAGGCCAGCCATGGAATACTTGCAACATCTCATAGCAAACCTTCTAAAGCAGGGGTCTCAAACGCGCGGCCCGCGGGCCAATTGCCGGGATGGGTGGGGCACAGGAGAGGGGCCCTGCGGCCTCCAAAGCGCCGGCAGTGCCCGGGCCGGCCACGGGATGAGCGGCCCCCCACCACCGTGGTGGTGGGATACTTGACGCGGCCCAGCCTCACCCAGACTCTACTTCCAGCAGCCTCCAGGTAAGTTGAGTTTGAGACACCTGCTCTAAAGGTACCTGGGCCTCCTCAAAGGAGGCAGGAATTTACCGAGGTAAGAACATTGAGATGGATGTTAGGAAATGGGATCATGCACACTGCATTGCGGGGGGGGCATAGGTATGTGAGAGAGCACCTGCTGGTATGCAGAAGTTTCCCATTTCAATCCCCAGCACCTGCAGATATGGCGGGGAAAAGCTATCCTGCCTGAAAATCTGGACTGCTGCTGCCAGCCCGTGTTGACAAACCTGGGCTAGGTGGCCTGAGGTTCTGACTCACCCTAGGCAGCTTATTTTCCTCTGAGTCTATGCAAAGTTCACATGTGAAGAATAGCTATATGTTTGCCTCCAGTCCTCTCAGCACATCCTGGCACAGGCACGTAGGAGCGATGCTGAGGTCCTGCTTGAGGGCTTTGCCTGGAGTTTTCCTTCCACTGAAAACATAATTTTGCAGTCAGAGGGTGCTTCTAATTCTTACTGTTAAACACAGGAGCCTTTCCCTGGCGGATGTTGGTGCGCAGATAGGCATCTGCTTCAGATGTTTATCTTCAGTGATTTGCTAATTGGGAAAGGTGGGGAGAATCCACAACTCACAGCACTGACACTGTGGGCACACAGCCAAAAGCCTAACCGTGCAGAAAGCACCCAGCCTGGTGGGGCTGCCTGGGAAGCCCCACCGTTCTTGCTCATACCCACCTGTTCTCCCTTGCACTGGAGGCCAAAACAGTTTAATAAAATCAGTTGAAATATGTAGCCTAAAGATCCCCCACTAATCATCTCAGTAGGCTGCTCTTTTGGTTATGCTCTTTCAAATACAGGTCTGGGATGCATGAGGCAGGAGGAGGCATGCCAGAGCATCTACATGGGGATCAGCTACAAGCAAAAGACAAAGCAGTTCTGGAAATATGAGGACTTGGGTCCCTACAGCCCCAGGAGGAGCAACTCAGGACCCACTGAGGCTCATGCCACCTGTTGTAGCTCTCCCGCCTCCTTCTCCCGGTCTTAAAAATATTCTGCGTCTTCTTCGGCCACAAAAGGCTTAACATACTACTCGGGAATGAACAGCAGTAGAGCAAAGGAAGCAAATACCATTTTCCCTTGGATTCGTGATGATGCAACTGTTTGTGAGCTTAAACTGCAGAACTGCACAGGTTAGGGTATTTGTCCTTTTAATCCAGCTTGACAAACAGCAGTCTTGCTTGCTGTGGCTGTTGTTGCTATCAGGAACGCAGAAGTCGTTGTAATGCATGCAAAGGAGTGGTGTGGGGAACAGGAAAAATGTTGGGGCATTAAATTCAGGGTTTAAAACTAGTGAGTGGTGCCACTGGGACCTGATGGCACTACTTCCAATATCAGAGGGTGGGGTATTATGCTTCTTACATTTTAGGGATTTGCAACCCTTAATAAAATAGCTCAGGAATGGCCAAACTTGGCTAATGCCAAAAAGTAGAGTGTTTTAGGGTACAGTCCAATGAATCTTTAGACGGGGAAAAAATCCCAGAATGCTTCAATCCAAACTTCACATTGCCTTGAGTTTTCTCTTGTGGAAGGCAGGATATTAAATATAAGAAATGAACAGTCAGTTTAACAATACCACAGGAAGAGAAACTCAGGTGAAACAGGGAAGGTCAACAAATACTCCATAAGCACTCTGAGTGGGCAAATCTTCAGCTGGTATCTGAAGCATGTAAAGGATTCCAGTCTAGACACCACCACCACCACCAAGGCCATCTCAGATGGTTCATCCAGTCATCTGACTGGGATGGCGTATACTGGTGTCCTGGAATGGGGGTGGGGGGTAGACCCGATGGCCTTCCTGGCCCCTTCCAACCCTACTATTCCATGATTCTGCTAAGTATCTGTCAGAAGTGGAGAAATGAAGCAGGACATTGAAAGGTGATCTATAAGGAAGTGAAAGAAAGATTTAAAGCACAATCCTATACATGTTTAGACAGAAAAACACCTGGGGCATGCTTGAGAGTTGTAGGCCTTTTCCAAACATGCACAGGATTAAAAAAATGTATAACAGCATTTGCTGCAGTTCCACCTAAAAAGCAATGAACAGCTAAAACGCAAAAGCATGCCTTTTTCGCATGTTTCCACCCTGCTCGCGGAGTTGTAGAGATCAACTGGCTGACTCCAGAAACACCAGAGTTGGTGGATCTTTGGGCCAGAGAAGGTGCAGGCAGCGTGTACCCTAGTGCAGGCCCTGCTGGACTGTCATCAAAAACAATGAGTTTGCCAAAAATCAAAGGCAAACAGCTACAGAACACTGCAGTATCTTCCAAATAAGCTTGTTTGGAAGCAGATCTAAATTTGGCCCTGGTGGAGTTTTTGGGAAGACAAATCAGTATTTTTGGAGAGGCAAATGCCACCCCATGGAATTCCGCAGGGTGGGAGCAGCAAGAGTGAAGGGGGGGGGGCACAACCATCCTGTAAAGTTGCCCAGTGTTGGACCAGGAAGATCGAGTAAAGAGAAGACTTAATCAGTGATGTTTGCTGTTTGTTTCTTATTGGCCTCTCACATTTGTTTGGCAAATCCCTCCTTTTCAAAAGGAAAACCAGAGGCCAGCAGAATGACAAAATCCACGCTTGGCACGTTGATGGTTCAGTCCCCCAGCATCAGGTTTCCAGAGAGGTCTCAGGGACCCAGAGTTGGGCAAAGAGCTCCTGCCTGAGCAGACTGTCTGGCTTTGGATGTCCCAGCCAGCACAGTAACGTTTTGATTTTGGTAGCATCCCAGGAGAGGAAGGAACTGCAAGTAATTAAGAAGTCCAAATTCTGTGGCAATGGCTGAGAAGGAACAAGACGTGGCTTCAAGGCAGCCTTGGGAAAGACTGGAATCCACTGCCAAACTTTCCAGACTGAAAAGATCCCAGGTGGCTTCAGCAGCAACCTCACTTTGGAGTTTCTTCCATTCCCCCAGCACAGCACACTTCTGTGCATCAGCAACGTCTGTTCTAAGTGCCAGATAAAAACGTGATGTGAGCCTCCACAAACTGCACTCTCTTCATTCTTTGGGGCCTGGAATGCAGCCCACTCGGCCCACCGAGGCTCTCGCTCTTCCCGCAGCCACTCATTAGCCTTCAGTGCACAGTAAGCCAGTGAGACAGCATGGCTCGATCTGGGACACCAGCAGCCGCCACAAGGAAATCGCCTCAGCCCACAGAATGGGGCGGGATTGCAGAGCTGGCTGAGTCTGCACAAGAGGGCAGGGAAGTGAGAACTGGGGGAAGCAAGAGCGGCCATTTCCCTTTTCCTGGGACAAGGCAGCAGGGCAAGGAGCAGCTCTCTCCTGTTCAGAAAGCAGGGATACGGGGTCCGAAAGAGGTGCCAAAGGTTGGATAGACATCATACAACCTTTATGGAAGCCACATACAGCATTTGTAGACCCAGGACTCACCATTAATTGCATCTGAGGACCCCTAGATATGTGCCATGGGGTAATGCTACTGCCGAGACATCTCCCCTCCTTAAAAGCAAGCCCTGGCCCATCAGTGGGCAATGAATTGTTTCAGATGTGACTGTGTGACCTGCACTCAAATGCTCCAGCTCCACACTGCCACCCCCCAAATGTTACCGACGGCTATCCAAACTCTCTAATTTTCAACATTGCAAGGTCTACCTTGGAAAACTGCACCCATGTATTCACAAGCAAGAGTTCAATATGGAAGATGCAGGGTTAAAGAACTGCCTCTGGCCATCTGGGCACCTCCACTCAGGAGGCTCACTCCCAGGTAAGGCCCAAGACTGCAGCCTTCATCTACTGTCCTCTTCAGGAATTCATCCATCTTTTGTCTACATGTGAAACATTCTTTGGATTGAAAGACTTCAAGTGACAGGCAAATGTTGATTTCAAGTTATTTCAATATTCTGAAATATAACTGAACATGCTACACTTTTCACATTTGCATTTATTTGATCAGTCATCAAAAATGGGAAAGCCAGGCAAGAAGGTCACATTTCTTCTGAAAAGGAAGACAAGCTTCTGAGGATCTTAGCTGATGACATTCAGCCTGATCTGAAGAATGAAGGTCACAAGCTAAGAAACAGGACTGCTTTTCCCACAATGAGCATGGCCTCGGTACGCTGCAGCTGGCTCTTTTTGAAACACAGGAGTCATAAAAGCCGTATGCAAGGCAGCATGATGGACAGCTGCTCCAAAGGAAGCCTGCTGTGTGTGGGGAGAAACTGAAAATTCAATAGCGGCGCCTGAATCCTGACCACAGATAGGTGTTTTTGTTTTCCTTCACTATGCTCTGGAGCACTGCTCATCCCAGTCAGAAGGCCGATAATTAACTGCCTCACCTAGAAATGCCTCCCCTTTCCCTCTTTACAGCCAGGCCACCCTCAAACAATCAGTTACCAAACAGAGGTTAGCTTATGAACTTCATGTGGAAAAAAATCATAAACAGGTTTATTAGACTAGTTATTTCTAACAAGAGAGTTCACTGAAATGTTCCAACCAACAGGTAAAATTCTTTGTATGCTAGCAAGCTTCTCTGAAAGTTGAAACATGACTCAGTTAGATCTTCGCTAGGCAAACCGCTACTACAGGAAATTAAACAGAGGACCACTGAAAGGAATGCTAGCAAAGAGACAGTGCTCGTGGCATTGCGAATATAACAGGAGATGCTAAAATCAAAACACAGTCGGTTCAAAAATCCCACAGCCACTGCAGGAGCAGAAGTAACTTGATCCAGCCTTCAAGACCACCAGGTAGAAGTAGGGGCCGAAAACGCAGCCCCAGGGGGAACGCCATGCATACACTGCCCAGGAGCCGTTGGCCTTGCGTCACTGTGGAGGAAGGCTGCTGGCTGAAGGCTCCTACTTCTTCCGGCCTCCTCTTTCTTTGAGTGCTAAGTGGATCACAGACCCACTGGTCATGTTGTAGTATGCCAAGGAGTTGGAATCCTTGATGAAGATGCCCTGCAACACAGTGACAGGCTATCAGTGCTACCCACTGCACCGCTAACTTCGCAAGGGAAAGGATGCACCCCACAGCACAAACCACTCTGCTCCAAAACACCCACAGGTCCTCCACTTTAACACCCAAGGGAGGAAGCTGGTCAAGAAATTGCTAGGAAACTTGGGCAAGCTAAGCAAACGGGTACAGTCCAGGGCCGGATCTTAGCCCCCGAGAGCGAAGTAATGGAAAGCGAGGTGTGGGAGGAGGAGCTGAGGGATCGTCCCACAAGGGCCCTGCAGCACCTAAGCAAATGGAACGGCAATACCCCGAGCTCAAACTCACCTCGTACTGGAGCTTCTGCTTTCCTGCCGGCATTCCGGTGGCCTCGTGGATTTTCACCTTTATAACAGAGACCTAGGAATCACAGGAAAAATGCACTTTCAGCAAAAGAGTCAGTATGCCAGGGACCTGAGTGGCCTCATGTGGGAGAAACAGTGCCCGGCGGATGGTAAGGGGGGGAATCGCCTTCCCCAGTTTGGTGCCCTCCAGGTGAGTCATGCTACAACTCTCAGCCTCTTCTAGGCCATTTTAAAACAATGGCCCATTAAGCAAACTTCATGCAAGCAAATTTTGAGGAATTCAATTGATCCTGGGGATTCCATTGCATATTAGATCTACTATCAGAATACCGTTAGGAGAAAAAAGAAAGACAAATAATTCCATTTCTGCTTTTCCTGTGTGAGGGAAAAAAATCCTCAGCCCAAGCAAGAGAACAAATGGTACTTTCTCAAATGAAAGGGACATTCCCGAGCAGTGCAAACCACCCTGCAATGCTTATAACCAGTATGCAGAAAAATCCTAGCAAAGAACTAGCAAATGTTGTTTATTAGCACTACAGCAAAGGGTAGGAATTTGGCTTGTGGCCGCCAGGCATTTTACATCAGGGCATGTCAAACCAACACTTCCTTTGCTAGAAAAATACTGAGAGAAAGAGATAAACCGCGCTTTAGCAGTACCTCTTTGTGTGTCATTACACAACTGTATGTAATGTGACACAGGAACATGTGCGCTCCTGCTTTGTTGGCAAATGGTGCCCACTTCATTGCTGTAGCCTGACCTCTCCAGATGAGCAGAAAACAGCAATGCTGGCCCCAGATCTCTGTCTAAAGATCAAAACAGCTCCTGAGAATCTAGAATTTGCCCCCCCCCCCCCCCCCCCGCCGTGGCTTAGGATACGTCTGGGCCACATACCTGGTCAGGGAGCGGGAGGGTGAACACCAGCACCTGGCCATTCAGCTTCCACTCTGTCTTGTCTTGCATGTTGGGAACTTGGACTTTGACTGTGACTGGACCCTAAGGAAATAAGGACAATGGGGGACACACAATGGAAGAAAAGGTAAATCAGAGGACACAACAAAGGCCGAATGCAACAGCAACCCTTTGCTTCCCCCACCCCTCAAACCCCCTTTCTCCGTAAAATCACGTATTCTAATTGCACGTGGGGAGCATCAGAGCGAGCCTGCACCTGACTGCAAAGGCACCATGAATAGCACCAGCCCCCGTGAAATGGAAAGACCACACAGAAGGCAACCCTGGGCATTTCTGGCTGGTAATGGTGCACCTTGTTTCTGCGCAAGAACTCCTCCTCTGGTATGAGGCTGTCTTCGGACTTGAGTTTCTTAGAGGCCGGCTCGTCATCCATGGGGGGTGGAGGGTGAACCGGAGGCAGAGGTGCCGGAGCGCTGACTGGAGCTACAGGGGGTGCTGGAACAAAGGCTGAAGCCGTGGAAAATATTAAGTCTTGGGAACAGGAAGGCCAGACCCTAAAGCAGCAGGTGTCAAGTGTAGGAACAGCTCAGTGGCGCACCAGCACCATTTCTGCTTGAAAGCTGTTTTGCATAACCTGTGAGGGCATCCCAATTGAGTGCAACCATGGCATTGCTCACTGTGAGTTCACAGAGGTTGGAGCAGCTAAGAGGGCTGGGAATTCCCTTCGCCCCAAGGATTATGCCTGAATGAGGGCAGCCTGAAGGAGCGGTGAACAAAAGTGGCAGACAAAGTGAACCAGTGTCATTTACTGGAAGGAGTTGGCTCCTATCAGGAGGATACAGCTTTGCATTCCTGCCCAGTCACATTATTACCCCTGCCAGGTGGCTGCTGTGAGGAGAAAGCGAGGAACACCTACTCGGTCTTTTAGCAGAATTTAAATGTGAAGGGGAAAAATAAAGAACAGTGCAAAGAAAGGAGCTGCTTTGTACAAGCAACCAGAGTAATTCCTCCGGAGGGACTAATGACCATGATGGCCTCCGGGTGGTGGCAGCTACCGAGCCCTAAAGGCAGTTCCTGGCCACAGGTCCCAGTGAGGTGGGTTCCAGCTCTTTTCAGAAGGAGCTACATTTGACACCCCTGCCATTAAGGAAAGAAAGACACAAGAAAGGGGAAGTTATCAGTTGTAACTCCAAGGCAAAAAGCTGTGTTAAAATGAGATTAGTTATGCTAAAAGCTCAGGAAAGTTGCATTCCTTTCCTGTCCAAGCATTGCAGAAGCCAGGATATCGTGCCTGCTCGAAGTCTAAGCTTTGATGCTTCAAATGAAGAGTTTGGGCATGTGGGAACCACTGCTTTGTAGCAATAAAACAAAGGTTAAATACACGGGGAGACGGATGTGTATGAACTGCTATCCTGGATTATACAGATGAGCCCTCCTTGGTTTCTCCTCAGCTCTGCAGTCACCTCGAGGAAGGGCTGGTGCTATTCTTGTGCTTGTGATGTACACACACACACACTGCCAGGATGCCTCTATTTCTTTATGGGTCCTCATTCTACAGGTGCATGTGGAGCGGCAGCCAATCCCGAGTCCCTGACAACTGTACTTGTATTCAGACATGCTTTTCATTCACACATTATGTTTTTAAGTATGCATCTAAGCATGTAGCATATGCATCTCCTCACACTTTATATTGCCTGGGTTTCAAATGCTTGGTTTGAAAATCGTGTAGGTTATTGGTCCCCCTTTTTTCATCAACTCCACTGGACATTTTTGGCTTGGAATTACTGGGGGGAGGTGAGTATTTAGAAGAAAGAGCATTACAAGACTCTTAAGACAAAAGCGCCAGCATGTGACAGCCAGGGATCTGAACCAACTCAGGAGTGATCTTGAGCTCTTTGCCTGAATCGTGGAAAGTAGAGTCACCTCCACACACGCAGCTGCTGGACCTTGCTGGCTAGGTAAGCTGGGCTTACAGGTGCGTCACAACGACCACAGTGTTGCAATGCAGCTGAAAAGCAAGGAAAGGCATGTGGCTCTTACAGCATTTCTTATTTCTGGGCTGCGCTTCTCTGACAACCGGGGCTGTATCTGAACACTGGCACTCAAGCTAGCATGCAGCCACGAAGTCTCTGAAGAGCGGCGACAGTCAAGCCAGGAAGTCTACAAGGTCAGAGTTATTTACAAACAGACAAACACCACAGCCAGGATCCTCCTGACACCACTCTGGACAGACAAGAGAAGTGAATGCATGCAAATCAGAGCTGGACTTGAAGGTTAGTGATTAGCCAAGTTTACCTCCAAGGTCACAACGACACTTAAAAAGTTACCTGGACTGCTGACTGGTCCCTGTCTGTATCCTATATTGTGACAATTAAATGAAATTAGTCAATGGCTTTGCTCAACTGCAACCTATGATAATCAAGTAACACCTGTTCAGAGGTCACGTTTAAAAGTCAAATTATATGAAGATAGCACATGGGTCCCAGGCCATTAATCTGTCCTACATAATGCCTGGGTACATACTATAATGCTGGCAAACATAGCATAACTTAATGCTTAAAACACGAGCTGTCACAACACCTGACTGATTTAATTGAGGTCAAATGCGGAGACAGCACCTGTTTGTCCATACCTATTTTACATGAATGCATTTGTGGTATAAACACGAGAAACCCCCCCTTACAATTCAAGTTTTCTGTGTGAACCAGAAAGCCAGCACTACTGCAAGAATGAACATCTGGTACTCGTCTCTTCAGGGTCAACCAAAAATCCTGAAGAACTATCACATAATGCAAGACCTCTTCTGGTTGAGTCTATGCTCCCCCTCTGGACCAGGATAATCAGTTACTTCAGGAGGAAGGCTACTGAACCAGAAGAAAATTGAACCAGTCTTCCTGAAGCCTCTGAGGAAAAAGGACTGTGCGGGAGAGGGCCAGGGAAGGCAATGGCTTGATTATACAAAGTTAACCTTCTGTGTAGGAGTGGGAACAAGGAGGCAACCCAGCGGGTGAACTGGATGAAGAGGAAATGGCAAGTTTACTGGGAGAGCTGGGGGTAGGGATGACAACTGAACAGAAAGAAGTAGGAAGAGTTCTGCCACTAGGCACTGTGTCTTTCCTATTTTTCCTAGGATCTGAACCTTTGGGGCAAATGAGACGCATGTATGAATGCTGTTACATGCCCAAACCTCAGGCTAGAGCAACTGCAGATCTAAAAAAGATGGAACAGTAGGTGGCCACAAAGGACAGCCGGGGCAGAACTAGGGGCCATTATAGCATTGTATCCCAACCAGTGGCATCGCTAATCGATACAACTGGCAGCACCCACTCAGCAAACACAAGGATGAAACTTCAGGTGAAGCCAAACAGGATTCATGCGATGGAATCTAAGGGCCTAATTGCACTGAAGAAATTACTTTTCTGTGTGAAGATTCCTGATGGTTTGCACATAAAATGTAACATCTCTTCATTCTGAATAGGGCAGTCAGGACTGGCCAACGAAAATGAACCACTGACAAGACCACGAGCACTTCTGGAGGGCTGCTGGTCTCCCAAGAACTATGGCAAGGCGGAAGAGACCGGATGCGACACTGACCTGTCGGCACGATCATGGGAGGGGGCCGTGGAGCCATAATGGGTGGGGCTGAGGGTGGCATTGGCACCACACTGATCCGAGGGGCGTGTATAATGGGCGGCATGGGAGCGGCAATGACGGAGCCTGGCGGCAGACGAACCACGGAAGTCATGGGGGGACGAGGCATGACTGGGACAGCGCTGACGACGGTTGTGCGCACAGGAGGTGGCATCTGGAAGGCAGAGCGTTTGCAGAGTTAAGAGCAACATACGCCTCTGGGGCAGGAGCAAATGACATTTCCGAAGAAGCGGGAGAATTTCATGGAAAGAGCCGCGCTTACCGAGGGAGGACGGGGCACAGATGCAATCGGTGGTGCGCTTGTTGGGATGTTTGGGGCTGAGGAAGGAGGCGGCGGCTGGGGAATCTCATTGGGTTTACTTGGACCAATCTTCTCCTTTGTGTCGTCCTCTGGCACCAGCCCCTTGGCCTTATGGATTGCCTCAATCTGTTCTTGCAGGGTAATGTTGGCCTGAGCTGCCTGCTGCGTTCGGGCCATGCTGCCGGAGTGGCCATCCCAGGTCACCTAATCGAACAGAAAACAGACAATCTGAGTGCCTTGTCTATAGCAAGGACCACAAACTCAGAGAAGGCTACCATCCCTTAACATTGGCAACAGCACAAGTGTATTCATTTCATTCATTCAATTCTGTACTGCCCAACGGCTGAGGCTCTGAGCTTTTTACAGATAAGCTAGTTCAGTTTGGCTCTGACCATACCTTTTCTTCTGGCTTCTGGATCTCCTCTTCCCCAATCTTTTTCCCAATGGCTGTCTCTTCCACACCAAAAATATCAGTACGGCGCTCAGCCAGTTGCTTCAAGCTGCTTTCAATATCCAAGCCTAAACAGGCACAAACAGAATGGAAAAAAGCAATTTACCAGGTTTTAGCCTTAAAAATGGATTGCCATTCAAATGTCCAAACCATATATAACCACACTAAAATGGAGACATGAAAAAGCCGAACACTTTGCGTTCATCTCTTGGCCAGGCCCAGTTTGGCATTTCCAGGAACTTCTGCTACACTTGTATACCCAGTTTTGCCGCCAGAGAGCTCAGAGCAACTTGTCTGGTGCCCAGGTGGTCTCTCATCCAGGGCAGCGAACAGAGCAGCGAACTTCAGCAACAGAACTGTGCCCTGTACCCTTGGACCACTTTCTGGGCTTCATGTCACCAAGCACATTTTCTGAACTTACTAGTGATGACTTATTTGATGGGCGGTGCGTGTTTGCCAAATCTGCCCACCTGCTCAACTTTACTGATGGCAGCCGCCTGTCTTTGCAAGTATTGCTGGCAGCAGCACATGCAGCAGCCTTCCTTCAACATCACCCTGCTGGTTTCAGAAGACTTCTTCTTTGCCTCCAGCATGCGAGGCTGTCTCTTTTCACACAGACTGTGAATTTTATGATGTTTAGACTACAGGTTCTGAATTCTCACCCTATTGGTATTTTAGGCTAGTTTTTAGTCCTGGAGTGCTACTTAGTTGCTTTCATTGCTTTCTTATTCCTGGATTTACCTTTGTCAGATACTCTGAATGTCTCCATTTGGAGAAGAAAATATACATTATAAATACAGGCCCATGAAATGCAACACAGCACACAGCTGTCCTCCCAAACTCACGTGAAACAAAGTATAGGTCTATCTATTTCACAGGTAAGGAATCTATCTCTAGCAACTTAAGAACAGCACTTTAAAAGCAATCAAAGTGTCCACCTTCATTAATTCCATCAAATATTAAATATATAAGGAGATCAAAGAGAGCAGAGGAAGAGATTGTGCCAATAACCACCACTAAGAGCCTCACTGGACTGACCTGGGGCATAAACTTCATCATCGGTCTGCTTCTCCCGGAGAGAGCGATCCCTTTGCTCCAGCCAGCGGGGATCCAGAAGCCCAATTCGCATGTGCTCTTGCATTTTGCTGGCAGGAATTTTCTCCCCGGTGATGGGGGAGACAAGGTATTCATCAGGGGCTGGGGTTGGTGGCAAAGGCTTAGAAGCTGGGGAAGAAGTCACATGGTTAGAAATGCTTTATCTGGCCACAGGACATCTAATGTAAGTATGTCCAAGTAAAAAACACACCATCTGTTGGTAGCCCCAAGCTTACCTTTAGGATCGTAATCTTTCCTGACAATGACTTGATCTGGAGTAGGAGGAAGAGGGGGTGGCATCGGAGTTTCTGGAGGGGGTGGAACTTTCTGGCTCTCATCTTCTTCATCAGAGCCCTTCAATTTGAAAAGTGAAAGATCGTCAAGTTGGGGGTGTTCACGCCAGCTTAGAATCACTGATGTTGATTCTATGCTGCAACTGATAGTGAGCCAAGTTTCGGACCATCAGTCAATTGCTGCGCTTTCTCCTTGGGTTACTGCCGCTCTAGTCCCAACTACACTTACATAATGCTACAGCACTCCTATTTGACACACGGGGCCTTGATGGACAAGCAAGCAGCACATGCTGATGCAGGCATTACCCTTCCCGTTTCTTCATGCTTAAGGGACTGGAAGGAACTTCTGCCAACCCCAGCTAAAATCACAGATCGTAAACACGGCCTGGTGAGGTTTTCCCATGACCAGCATCAGCTTGCTCATAGCAGCAAGCCTCGCTTAAGGCAATGGAAGGGACACATGCACTCCCTTGGTCCCAAGACTGAAGAAAATGCAGCTAGTGTACCAATCCCAAACCCAAGCCAGGCTAAAGTGCTTTGTGCAAGGAGAAACATGAGCTTCCTTCTGGGGAAGGCTGGTGGAAAGGACTGGCCTTGGGCTCAGAGATCACCCAACTGCTTTCTGGGGGGTCAGAAGAGAACAGCACCACACACATCCCGAACACTCAGGCAAGTTTAGCAGCACAATACTGAGGGGAAGGCAGAGGGGCTTCTTCCTCTTTAGTTCTTGATTCAACCTGCTTGGTAAGAAACATATCTGGCTTAAGCAGGACTACTAATTTCTTGTGAAAGGTTGAATCCTGACCAATGTGGCTAACTAACTGAAATACAGATGTGTGGCATGGATGTAGGCTAAATGCAGAGGGATCTGAGCAAACAGGTTTTCAGCTTTTTCAGCCCCTTTGAATGTGTGGGCAAACTGCAAGATGCTCCAAGAAGTTTCTGGGCCTTCTCCGCACAGCAATCTTCTTGGAATTATCCCATAGACTTGACCTTCCGGACCAGAAGCACAGGGAGGTCCAAGGACACTAGTCAAGAAGCCTAAGAACCAGGTGCTTACCAAAATTATTGTGCTGAATAAAAAGAGAGAATAAACTTCAAGCTTTGCCACAGATGGAACTTTCACTCAAGCTAACTACTCACTTCATCCATGTCCTGCACTTGGGTATCCTGGTCTAACTGTGATGGGGCCTCCTCCGTCTTTTCTTGCTTCTCATCTTCATCGTCTGACTCCACCTCCATTTCTACTTCTTCACTTTCACCAAACTTCTCATAGCGCTCCTGGATCAGAATTCGAGCTCCCAGCTCCTCCGGGGTGGTTGGAGGAGGAAAGTTCCCTACAGCAGAGCAGAAAAAAGATCAGCTCCAGCATCATCACAGAACAGAGCTGGCTGCCACTGTAGCCTGTGGCACTGCACAGCTTCTTCAGACCAAATACTTTGTTAAAGGTCAGTGACTGGAAAATGTCTATTTAGTCTTATCTTATGAGCATCACAGGGTTTAAAACTAGGGGTTGGATCCAGGACCTGCCTTAAGCAAGAGAAAGGGCTCTGCCTGCAGAAGCTCCTTCTGCATGGTTGGGGGGATCCTCCCTTCTCACATCCACCACAAACAACCTCATTTCAGAGGGTCTCCTGAATCCTTCTGTAGTGCTTGCCGGAAGCTGGAGGAGCTGTGACAGGAAGGAGGACTCAGGGGAGTTCACTTCTGTCAGCAGAGCTGATCAGCAAGAACTGGACCTGATCTGACATCTTGCTTGCAAGCCACCCACTTCCTTTTCTTTGCATCTATTTCTGAAGAAAACTAGGGACTTGGCTGCAGCAGAATTCACACTGCACACCCACCTGTTCAAAAGCTAGATGAAACCGAGAGCTATGGGCTGCTGCTTTTGAGGATAATAGACTAACTGTTCTATCCTTTGGGTAATCGTGGAGGTTTTCCCATCCAATATACACACAATATTTTGATTTTGCATTGATCAAGTCATACGTTTAAACAGCGTAATTAAATCAACCTTGCTCAGAGGGCTGGAAGTCCACTGTTTCCACCACCACAAAATCATGCCAATCAATCTGGGCATAAGCAACACGCTCTCGCTCCTTTTCCTCTTCTTCCTTCTTCCGCTCTCGCTCCTGAAATTTGGCCCACTCCACTCTGTAGCAGGCCTGCACGATGCATCAAGCAGTTATAAAACAAGACCATATTTGTTCTTTAAGTCATAGTGTAATTTGACACTAGTGAGACAATTAAACATTTCAGCTTCTCACAGGAAATAGATTGGAAGAGTATGGCACACCTCTAGCATGCCTGCACTTTGAGTTAATTACCTGGAATTTAATAATTGGTCTGACATCTGTACATTTCTATTGTATGTTAGAAATGTCAAGATCAAGAATTCTTGGAGGCTTGGTTAAATCAAATCAATAGCCCCAAAGTATCATTTCCTATTCCAGTTTCCATAAGAATGTCTTGACAACTTTTAATCTTGATTTCCCAAGGCAAAGATCTGTAGCCGGATACTAAACCACTTCCAGGCAACAGCAGAGGAAATGGGAACAATTCACTCAGGAAGGACCTTGAACAGGTCTGGCAAGTGCATCTTTTTGTTTTAATCTAAAAAGGGGTAAATGGAGACTCCTCAGGGCTCATGCTGGACGTTGGAAGCACTCAAATGCAAGAGACCTGCTGCCCAGGGAGCTCTGAAGCCCCTCATAAAGTCTTAAGGGGCCCCAGTCCTTCTACAGGCACAGGAGAAGCAGGGGGGCAGCTAAGAAAGCAAAAGACTAAAAAGAAAAAAAGCTTTTGCCTGGAGATGTGAGAGACTTCAAATATCTAAACAGTCATTACCTCACATAAATATTTATGAGAACGCTTAGTCCAAAGACAGAGCCTGTGCATTATACAGAGATGGTCCCAGGTGGAGTCCCAGGCATATTACTTAAAAGAGTTCTAGCAGCAGGGCTGAGGAAGACCTCGGAGTAAGCAATCCTTGGCTAGCTCTCGGGGGCTACCACACAGAAGACAGAGCTACTACTTGCTGGGGGCAGGACTGGAACCGAGGCCAGATATTGCAAGCAAGCAGATTTCTGCAAAGCATCAGCACAAACTTCCTAACAGAGCTGGTCAGCAGTGGAATGGGTTGCTTCAGGAGCTGGCAGATATTGAAGCTGAGGCTGAGGCACCCTAAGCTAGCAATACTGCAGCCACGTCCTGCGCCTCAGATTGTGCACTGAGCAAAGTGGGGGCCCGTTTGGCCACCAAGGTGATCCCTTCCAGCTCAGCAACTCTATGACTGTTTTGAGTGCCTCCAAAACTCAGCTTGACAGGGAGGACACAGGGCCAGTAGCAGCCACAGGTGGGCTGCAAAAGCCAGCTCAAATCTGTGAATCTTTTTATTTTCCCAATGTTTTAAGACCTGGCTGTTTTAATTGGGATTTTATTATTAGTTGAATTTTTAGGACGCTGTGTTTTAATTTTTTTTACATTTTGTATTGTTAAAGTGTTCCGAGACTTCAGTAATGGGACGGTCTAGAAAAGTTTTAAACAAACAAACAAACAAACAAAATCTCGGTTCAGAGTTTGACAATTAAAGTATTCTTTGAAAATGATGAATTATCAAATAACAGATACAAAAAAAATACAACCATGTAACTGATGGAATATTTTGAGGCTGCAACACAACACACACCTGCCTGGAAGTGAGTGCTGTGAACCCAGTGGGCCTTACTTCTAAACAGATACACAGACTGGCACTGTTTGCACCTTCTGGTGTTAGATTTGTAAGCCACTACTATGAGACAAAAGCTCATGAGGGGATAATGGAGAGCTCAAAATCCTAGCAAAAATTATTATAATATATCCATAGTTACCTGATCCAAGACTTCTTTGGGATTTTCTGCCTCCTTCTTTAGTTTGATAATTAAGCCCTTTGGTGGAATCAAGATCTGAAGAACAGATTTTTCAAGGCATCACTGAGGAATCAGTTCTAAGTAGCATTTTCTTCATATTTCTATAGAAGCTATTAGAAGCTATTCCCATGAGCTGTATGTATTCCATGCTTTAAAACACTTCTTCACCCAGCACTGTGCCAAGAAAATCATGCAGCTTGTAAAAACTATGCAAATTGATCAAGTGTCCTTTACATCGATTATTTTGTAAAATTTATGCTGATTTTGCAAGGCACAGAAACAAGCAATGAAATAAGCAAGGCACTGGAGCTGCAAACTGGGCACCTTGTTCGGCCATCCTGTGAGGTTCAGCAGGCAATATCTATTCATAGCCGTAAGGGCTGGAAACCTCGTTTTGTAAATGAAAGCCAATATGGTCATACTGCATTTTCTGCGCAAAGAACAAAAGCACTGTTTGTAACTGGAAACTGTGCTGAGTATAGTACCCATGTACAGACGGCAACCATTTATCACAAATGACAATGGATAGCAGTTCCAGTTTGCAAGGATGGGTCCTATCAGGCAGGCATGCAATCACACTTCTACTAACCCTGAATGGAAGTAGAATTATTTTGCTACCATCTCAACTATTGTCTATATCCCATGAGTGGAGAACTTGGGGCCTTCCAGATGTTGTTGGACTCTGAATCCCATCAGCTTCAGATGGCTTGGCCAATGTTCGGAGATTACAGGAGCTGTAGTCTAATAACATGTGAGAACCAAAGCCTCCACTCTCCACTATACATTAAGGCACAGATTTTTATTTTGGTGAAAAAATGGGCCATCAGAGCAAAAGCATTTTCAAGTCTGGAATGTGCATACTTTCCCCTCAACATCCCTCCAAGCATCTCTTTTTAACCCATGGGCACGAAGGGGCTCCCCAAAGCCTATAACTTGCCTTACTGTAAAGCAAAACACTCAGGCAGTACCTTAGTGTACTGTTCCACTAGCTTGGTGAAGTAGTTGAAGAGGCTGTGCTGAGGGCGCAGGAAGTCAAACTGGTAGTTCCGCTGCTCTTTCTGCATCAGCTGGGTGAGGAACTGCCTGCCATTGCGAGCAACAAACTGGGCCGTCAGTTTAACCACATCCAAGTCAAAGGCAGAGATGGAGGGAGGGTCTGCAATGAACTCAAACTCCGGAGGGGGCTCCTTGGGAACAACCGTTTCCTGGATCACCTGTGCCTGTACCTAGAGAAGGAACAGACAGTCACGCTCTGCTTGATGTCTTGCAGCACTAGCCTTTCTCTGGTTCCTGCAGGCAGAGGAAGGCTCAGCTGAAAACAAGAAGATGATGACAACCACACAGGGGAGAGACGGACTGTTTACCTTTTGCGGAAGCTGCTGCTGTGCGCTCTGCTGTGCCTGCATGACTTTAGGAATGGCAGCCGAAGGCTCCTGGGCCTTCCCTTCCTTGAACTCATTGACTTTGTGTCGGTAGTAGGCATGGTAAGGATCATTGGGGTTCAAGAAGTTGAATTTGGGGTTATTTATCTCATTCTGACGGATACGAGCTTCAAATTCAGGACCGTTTCTGGAAAGTTATACAACACTCATCAGCACCACAGCAAATCAAGCAATTCCTGAAAAACCATTAAAGACTTGCATTGCCTGTGTCCCTTTAACGCATTTGACCAGCTGTACATTCTGAAGTTGCTAGGATCAACCTCCAGCTCTGCAAGAGCAAGATAATCCTGGAACCCAGTCTCCAGTTTCTCTCACCTGGCCACAAAGCTGGCTGTCTTATCCACAATATTCCTAACCTCTGGTGGGGGGTATATAATTCCCACAACAGGCTTGGCTGGTGTTGTTTCTTCTTTTGGTTCATCTTCTGGCTGCAATGAGAATTAACACAGCAAGACATGAAAGTGCATACCAAAGGCCTTTGAAAATCAATTTGGAGGCTAATAAACATGCATGGATCCTCAACAGTGCAAACACTCTGTTCTGTTGGGAGAGAGATGGTATAACATGGCAACTTACAGACTACTACAAATCCGAATCTCTCCTTCAAAACTCTCCACTGCCTCAGTTTCAATCAGTGGCATGCCTATAATGTGGGAGTAATACTAGTCTCCCATACAAAGCTGTTCAAAAGATTGCAAGATTGCCTTGCCAAGTTCTTTGAACAGTCAAGTGCTTTTTATTACCGCTGCACTTTATAGCAGGGGTGCATAAGCTACAGCCCCCGAGTGGCCTGCCCTTATGCATTCTGCCATTGCCATACCCTCCCCGCTTCCCCTACTCTCCACTCCCTCTCCTTTATACAGACCGCTGCTTCTCTGCTGCCACTACCAACGAGGACTGGCAAGTGAGCATGTGTCCGCGTGGGCAAGGACAGCCCTGATCCATCGCAGCAGGTAGCCTGCTGAGCGAAAGAGGCTGTGCTCCCCAGAATTTCAAGGTTCAAGAATACTGCTTGCCCTTTCACCATACAATGGCAGGAATCGAGTAACGGAAAGCAGGACAAGGATGACACTTCCCACAAAGCTTGGACTTTCAGAGAGGGTGGCCCCTGCCCTCTCCCTCTCCTTACAGTCCAGCTGAAGAGTAGGATTTACTCTGGATCTGTGCTTATCGATCCTCCAACATGATGCTGGGGAAAGCACAGGTGGCATGAACTGATACATACCCATCCCCTTCCAGCTTGGAACAGACTCCCCCTCCCTTGCTTCCCTGCACCAAGCTTAGGGGAGGGGAAAGGAGCAGGGGACTTTTCCCTGACTTCGTGTGCCTCTCTTTGTGAAGGGATTCTGGTGACAACAAATGCTTGGTTGGACCCATAAGCCTGCCAATATTTGTAAACCTATGGCTAATTCTATGTACTTAGTATTTATTTCTATTCAAGGGCCCACAAATTCCGGCTAGCTTTGGTTACAAGAATCCCATTCTACACTTGCCCTCCAGGTTTGAAGCTGGGCAGGGGAGCAGGGATCAACCAAACCGGGCACTGCAGAAGCCCAGAGCAACTGCATGGATGCTTCTCGGGGGAAGAAAGCAGGGGAATGGTTTGCGGATGGTCGAGAAGCATCTGGAGCTCCACAGTAACTCAGGACCAAAACTTTATCAAGTTTCCACCTTCATCTCCAGAAACTAGATAGGAAGGCTGTCAAACAGCAGTGGTCAGATAACACTCACTGAATAAGAAATGGAGCTGCTTATCACAAAATCTCACTCCACTTCAATCCTTATTGCTCAGGTATTCTACAACCTCAGAGAATAACAAGCTAACCTATTATATAGTATCTGAAGCACGCTGAATGTCCTAAAGAACTATAAAAACATTGTTAGTGATCCAACATACATATAGCATGCATGATGCTACATGTATGATAACATCCATATTATGCACACGCAATGACCATGTGACCTTCTTTTATAGTGGAATTTGGCAAAATGGCCATTTGTTTAGATCAGCCTTTTTCAGCCTGCTGCCTTTCAGAGGCATTGAACTACAACTGCTGGGGTTGATGGCAGTTCTGTTCAGCACATCTGGAAGATACCAAGCTGGGTGAGGCTAGCTTAAGTTAAAGACCAGCAACTGGAAGGACCATCCAGCAGATCCAAATATGCAAGTACACACCTTGGAGCAGAGGTGGGAAGCTTGTGACTACACTCTGGTTCATCAGCCCTTACTGTTGGCTATACTGGCTAGGGGCGAGTGAAAGCTGTAAGCCTATTTAAAGTGCCACAAGCTGCCCACCTTTGCACATAAGGGGTACTAGATGCCTCCCCTCCCCTAATCAAGAGGCAAGAGACAGAGGTGAACTAAACCAGGAATGGGATTCCAGTGCCTTCCAGATGTTCTTTCATTTTATTCCTCGTGCATCCATACCCTCCCACAGTTGAAACTCTTTGGGCAGTTTACAGAAATTTAAACCTCACAAATACCTTTTAAAATCGCTCACATACATAAAGAATTCTCATATAACTTAATTTTTTAATCAGCTATGAGAAAAATCTTGATTAAAACCTCATTTTATGCTTCTATATGCCCAAAAGAGGTGCTAGACCCCAACTCCCATCACCCCCAGTCAGAATGGCCAATGGGCAGGGAAGATAAGAATACCAGCTCTGGAAGGCCACGAGTTTCCCACCGTGGACTGACTTCTGTCCCTATAGCCGAGGTGGGCAACTGATGACCAACACACAGCAGCCCTAGCCTCTCCTATCAATCAAGAGGCTTTGGCCTACAACTCCCAGCAGCCTTAGAGGCTCCCTGGCCCATGGTGAAAGAGGATGGGAAATGTAGGCCAAAACATCTGCAGGGCCACAAATAGCCCACTCAAGAGCTCGCCTCCGGCCAAAGCAACTTCCCTTCCATTTCAGCCACGCACCGCGATGCTACAGACTACAACTCCCAACAGACACCGCTCGTCCTGCAAATCCTCTGGGACAGAGAGGCTCCCTCGTCAAGGCCTCAAACGTCAAAGCAGGAGGGGGAGAGGAGATGACCGGAAAATTAGGGCGCGGGAGAGGGGTTCTTTGTTGCAGGAGTACGAAGGAAAAGTACCTGCTTCGCTTCAGGTGGCGCTGGCTGGGCAGGCGCCATCGCCTGCACGGGCCCCGCCGGCATGGTGCCTCTTTCGCTTGGCGTTGACGATCCGCTGCGCCAGACAAAACACGGAGCTCAGCGACAAAATGGCGGCGCCGAAGGGCATGCGCGCGCATACGGAGCGGCTACGCCCCCAGGGGTGGGGCAAACGGAGGAGGCAACCCCAGGAACGCATGCGCGCGCTTCCAGCTAGGCCCGCATTGAGCGCAGCGCGGTCGAGACGCCGGGATGGGCGGTCCGCATATTTTTCCTATAGAGTTCAGTCAAATACAGTCAGAATCCCCGCTATCACTTTCGGGCTCCCAACGATTATTTGTGTGCTTACAAATCGAAACGTTAAAAACAACCAGCAATGACCTGATCAGGTTATCCACTCCTGCGAAGCGATCTTGCTTTCCTGGTGTTTTCCTGGAAGACAGTTAAAGGGACCGCTCGCTGGTATGAAAGTTGGTGTGTTCATTTATGTTTATTAGATTTCTATCCCGTTTTTTCCTTATCGCGAACGCAAAGCGCCTTGCATCATACTCCTCCTGCTCTCAACCTGATCTCCACAACAACGACCCGGTGAGGTAGATTGAGCTGAGAAGCTCTGACTGGCCCCAAGTCTCCCAGTTGGCACCATGGCCAAGCGGGGACCAGAACGCGGATCGTCCGAGTCCTAGACTCGAGCTCTTAACCACTGCACCACGCTGACTCCGTCTGTATATCTAGGATTGCCTCTCCAATGCAAAAAGCTCTGAAGAAGCGGGTGACTCCTATGGCAATGGGGCTCCTTACCCATTGACGCTTTTATCCGGAGTTGCTGAGCTATCCACGGTCCTGAACAACATCTCCAACGTGGGTTCGCCACCATGGATCTGCCTGAGGCGGGCTGTTGCAGGGCTTATTTCGTGTATTCATGCATAGGATCGCACCTTTAATCTGTCTTCAATATAGGATTGTGGCTAATACAATTAATTGAATTTATGAATAATTATGCCTATCTTGCAATCAAGCTAAGCCCTGTCTACACATGCATAGAATTGTGCGTTTACCCTGCAATCTTATGCATGTCTCACCAGCACTAACTCGCATTGAGTTCAGTGCATCTTACTCCCAGGATTGTTCTTTTAACCTTTGCAGTCCGAATCTGGGCAACACTTTCCTAGAGAATAACCAAAATGCCACAACACTTGTTGTGTTCTTCACAATTCTTCACAGTTCTTCACAACTCCCTCTGTCTAGCCTGATAAAGCATTCTGGGGAACTTGAAAGCTTGGCCACCCACTGGTGGCAAATCGATTGGACCAACCCTCCTCCCCGCCTAAATGGAGATTTGGGATTCCCCCCCCCCCAGGAAACAGGTTGGCGAGCCTTGCTTTTTGCTAAGCACTGCAAGACTTTGATGTTATGCGCGTGCAACGGATAACCTTTCCTATTTCTATGGCGATTGATGGGCGGGGCGTAATCCTAGGGGCGGGGCCTAGACAGTGTTCGGGTTGCCACGGCAACGAGGCCTGGAAACCGCGAAGCGCCGGGCGCCGGCAGCGGAGTCTCCAGGGCAGGTGGGTCTGCCCCGCGTCCGCTCTGAGAGGGGGCTCGGCACGTTCCCTGCGGCTGGAACCCGAGCAGCTCGTCCCTGCCTTTGCCAGCGCCCTCCGGGGCTGCCCCTTTCCGAGCCCGGGCCCACTTTCCTCCCCCCTCCCCAGCAGCCCCATTAGTGGAGGCCGCCGTCAATCGGGGCCGGTGCTCGGCGTCCGAGCCTCAAAGTAGCCGCTTCGTAGGCACTGAAGGAAGAGTGCCTCGGAGCATGTGCAGAGTGCTCTCCTCCTCTCCCTTACTGTTGCCTGCCGCCAGCAAGGGCACGAGGGATCCGGTGTGCTGCGGTGGTCAGAGTGCTGAGGAGACCTTCAGGAGGCTCAAGTCCTCATTCGGCCATGATGCTCTCCGGGTGGCACCGGGCAGTCCACGGCCTGCCCCAGGGTGGTTGTCAGGATCAGTGGAGAAAAGGCGGCTCTTGCATGCTGCCTTGGGTTCCTTGCAGGAGGAGGGAACAGGCAGGATATTAATATAATTTAAAAATATTATTATTATTATTATTGCAAGGTAAAACTTAAAACTATAAACTACAACAACAAAGTCAGGCATATTATAAATCTGTAAGTGTACAATAAAATTAAGCTGTTGGCTATTGCAATGCCAACTTGGCATTTTAGTAAAATGATCCCATATACACCATTTCTCCTATGTCCTTTTTCCTGAGAATGAGTTTTTCCTGATGCTGCTGAGTGCTTCCTAGGAAAATATATACAGGACCAGACCGGCTGCTTTTATTACACAGTAGCAATTCGAATATTTTGAGGCAAATGCTGGAGTGCATTTTAAGAGATGAGCTATTAAGGCTGCAATCCTGAACACAATTATTAGGGTGTAAATACGTTGACTATATGTATTTTCAGATAGCCATTAGGAAGCACATCTCAGGTACCTTACAGGCACAGTCCAATGCAAATTCAGATATAGAAAAAAGGCCAACAGCTCCCAGCATGCCCAGCACTTCACATCTTATTTATTTATTTATTTATTTATTTTTATTAAAACATTTCTATGCCGCCCCATTCGCCGAAGCCTCGGGGCGGCTCACAACATAAAATTAAAATACTAGAAATAACAATATAAAATAAGTCTACAGCTTATAGCAGCCTTCCCTCACCTGATTCCCTCCAGGTGCATTCAAATCAAAGAACATGAAATGTGTGATTACAGCCAGAAATCATACGTCAAAGTGAGCTGGGACTGGCTTGGGAGAACATCAGGAGATAATACAAAGTTCCAAAATATTAACTGTGAGTAGTGTAATTCTAGCCCAGTCTTCCCCAACCTGGTGTTTGCCAGATATTGTAGACTTCAGTTTCTATTGGCCCTAGTCACCATAGCTGTAATCCAACACATCTGAGGGGAACCAGGTTGGGGAAGGTTGACTTATGTACATGGTCAAGTGTAATGCTGGCTGCTGAACCTTTTTCAAGTTGGGGTGGGAGGGGGCAAATTCCATTTTGTTGAAGCTTTTTTTCCAGTGGCAGAAAGGGTGGAACAGAAAACAAGCAAATTGTAGTTTAAAGCTCTTTTTAAATGCAGAAAGAGGCAGGTATTTTTGTAAGCTGCCTAGAGAACTTTGGTTGGGCAGTATAAAAATGCAACCCATGCAATTAATCTTCGGGGTTACACAGAGGGCTGGATTTGACCCCCAGAGCTGAGGTTCTGCACTCCTGCTACAGGGATGCCAGTTTATTGGAACCATTGCTTGGCAGCAGACACAGGTCAGGAATCCTCAGTGCTGCAAAGCAGTAGGGCAAAGATATGCTTTTTAGGAACACGTGATGAATGTGTAACTGTTTCTGCACCTGGTGCTTTCTCCTTGCCCCCACCCCCACCCCAGGAACATCTGTCCTAAGACCTGGGTGTGTTGCCAGTTGGGGAATGACATCGGGGTGGCAACATGGTGAGTTTGCTGGTTAATCGCAACTGCATGGAAAGCTTACGGAAGGACATCACTGATCTGCAAGGGACAGTCGTCAGCGTGTTCTCTCAGGCTGGAGCTGTGCGCTATCCTTCCTGGAAGTTTCCTGATAAGGTGTCTTGCGACCTGGACTTAGTGGCCTTGCTGGAGCATTACGACTTTGCAGAGAATGACCCAGAATTCACCCAGCATTCCCATGTGGTTCTCCTGGAACTTGTGATTGACAGGTGAGGGTACACTTTGTTCCTCCATCATCTTCAGAGCTGTTTTTAACCTCTCTAGGACAACAATCTCACCTTCACTTAGAACTGCTTAGAGATTTGATTGAGATTTACAAATAACAAATAAATAATGTAAACAATACACTTACCTGAGAGTAAGTCCCAGTGAACTCATTGGGGCTAACATTTGTTTAAACATACATTGGATTGTGCTGTGGGCTATATTTCTGGGGTCCATTATATTGAGGACTGACTAGGATGAGCATTTAGAAACTTTGGTTACCTCAGGAGGCAAGAGTTGTTACCTGGGCATACCTGTTTGACCCAGCAGTCTTCAGACCCCTGGGTGCAGTTTGGCAGTTGTGTGAGTAGTTTGGAGGGGGCTTGTTATTTCTGGCAAATTGCATGGCCAGTTCTTTATATCAGACCCTGGCCCTCCTTGCTCCACCGGCTCTACCATATTGCTTCATATGGTTTGTTACTCACTGAAATCTGTGCCCAATTTATTGGTCTAACATTTATGAATTATAAATCGTTTATGAATTAAATTCTTATTTTTCCTCCTGAAAGTACAGTGGTACCTTGGCTCACGAACTTAATCCATTCCAGGACTTTGGTCATGACCCAAATTTGTTGTGAGCCAAGTTAAATTTCCCCATAAGGTTCAGTGTAAATAAGGTTAATCCATTCTGTAACCATTTTTTTTAAATCACAAAAATTTGAAGCAGGAGCGCTGAGGGGAGGAGGCAGGCATGATCGTGGGCGCTCAGGGGGGAGGTGGGCGCGACTGAGGGTGCACTGGGGGGAAGGCAGGCATGATAACAATCGTCACCCAATGCGGAGTTCAAGACCCCAGGCAATTTTTTTCAGAAATTTCTGTTCATGACCCGATTTGGTCGTGAACTGAGGTGTTCTTGAGCTGAGGTACCACTGTATTTAGTTGAAATTTTAAGGATAGGTTACTGAAGTATTTATTGTTTTTCCACTGAATTGCATGTTTTTATATGATTTCATCTGTCTCAGTGTGTCACTGTTTGTTGCTTTGGGCTTCCTTTTGGGTGGGAAAGCAGGGTAGAAACTTTGCAATGAGAATGGGTTTTCCTTTCTGCCCTGCAAAGGCTGTTGTTGCTGCTTCAGAGCTTCACAGGATACATGGAAAACCTAACCGGCGAACAAGTCATGCCCCAATCCAGGGCAAAAAGGCCTTGCATGTCCCTTGGGCTGGCGGTGAGGAAGTTCTGGAGCAGCATGCTGAAAGTGGGCATCCTCCATCAGCAGCTAGTGGCTGAGGTAAGCTGTGGGTGGGCAGGCGGGCGGGCAGGGAGGTCACCATCTTCCAAGCACCTCACCACGCAAGCTTTCCTCTGGTCATGTGCAGCCAGAGAAGCTTTGCTTCCCCCACTCCTGTACACACCCCCTTGCAGCTTCTCTCCTAGATGTCTACAGGTTGCAAGCCGAGGAGATGATCCCAAGGGATCCTTGCCTTGTGGGATAAACCACACAAGGGGAGGCTTCTGTTGAAACATGGGGGCTGCAGAGCCAGGTGTTGAGGTGTTTCAGGTTTACCTTCATTTCAAGGACAGGGAGGCACTCCAATCACACATAGACACACACACACACACACACACACACAGAGAGAGAGAGAGAGAGAGAGAGAGAGAGAGAGAGAGAGAGAGAGAGAGTCGCATCTGTGCCTAAATAACTGTGCTTCACCTTCCTGAGATTCCAGAGAAAGGTCCCCTCCTTTAGGAGCTGCCCATAGCTTTAAAAAAAACCCTTTCTTACATAAAAGCCACATGGCCTAAAAACTACTCTCCAAAATTGTTTAGGATCTTTTACTTAGTACTTTCTGTGACACTGCAGGAAGCCTCTGAAAAAGAAAACCTGTCTTTGCAATGCTGGGCAGGCCCAACACAGGGCTGCTGCCGGCTTTCCCGCATGCTGTTCTCTTCCTTCCTGTCCCTTAGCTACCTGGCAGGCATGCAGGCTTTTGATCCCGTTCTGTGGAAATCAGTGCGCAGGAGAGGTGCTGTCACTTACAAGCACTGGTCACCATAATCTTGCTTGAATGAGAAACCGAAAATACAGACAAGATGTAAATTGCCTTAGCTACCCCACAGCCGTCCAGAGGTGCTGGGCTGCAACTCCCAATGGCCAAATCAAATGGAAATTAGGAGAGCTGCAGGCTGATGCATCTGCAGGGCACCAGGTTGAGGAAGGCTGGTATTGTGTAATCGTGGAATATGCCATTCCCTCCCTACCCAGTAGCACAGTTACCTCCCAAACCAATAGCCTAGGCAGAGACAGCTTATGCCTCCCTTTCTCTTTCATGCCTAGAAAAAGCACAATAAAGAAGATGCTTCCAGCCTGGGAGGTTCCTTTCAGGCAGCAAAAGCCGAAACTGAGCATTTGAAAAGCTGCTCCTCTGGGCTTTCCACCTCCGAGCATTCTGAGCTGGGTGTGTCATTACCAAGCGTCCAAGCTTCCCCCTTAACTTTGTCGGCCAGCAGCAGACTGCCGTACAGTAACCTCTCTGAGGCAAAGTCAGTCTGCAGAGGCAGCAACCAGAGCATCCACGCTCAGGCGATCGAGTCATCTCTGATGCCCTGTGATGCATGCAAGGAGGCCCAGGCCAGCCTGCGGGAAGTGGGCAATGCCATTATCACCGTCTGCAGCAGCCAGAACCTCCCCTCCTCTCTGAGCAGATTCCTGGAGATGGTCGAGCAGAGCCTTGGGCACAAACCCCTCACGGCTATGGACCTCAGCTACTGGGCGTCCGAGCAGAGCAAGGACCTCTCCCGGATCAATAAACACCTCTGGACCCTGGTGGAGCTCATTAACCCTTTGAAGGAGGAGCTGGAATGCTCCAACAAACAGAAGGAGGAGCTGAAGGGACAACTGGAAACCTTCCACAGCCACCTTCAGAAGGAGAGAGAGGCCCAGGAGCAGCGGAGGGTGGAAGCAGAGCTGCTGTTTGAAAAGAAGAGGACAGAGACCCTGCAGCTGGTGTCTGTGCTAGAGAAGGACAAGGAGGGCCTCCAGAACAGTGAATATCTCCCCCCCCCATTCTCTGAGCCAGGCTCTCCCGGGTGTTGGATGCCAGGGCCCTGTCTCAACACACCCAACAGGGAGGCATCTCTGTCTCACGGAACAATGGGCCGGTCTGTTAGGGTTGCTTCCCTGTCGCTGAGGCCAGAGTTGGGGACGGCGGGCCCTGGGTCCTCTGGGCTTCCCAGGTGGCCGCACCCCTCCCCCTGCATGGACTTTTTTGGCCCCGCCCCCTTTTGCCTTTGGCTCCACTGCTGTGGCTCTTGGGCAGTTTTCTGAAATGGAATTTGGGGGCTGGGTTGAAAAAGACTCTGCTCTCCCGGCCTGCTTCCTTGATCACATGGTGCTTCTGCGCATGCTAGCTGTAGCCAGTGCTCAGGTTGTCGGGGGGGTGACCCCCAACCATTTGTGACCCCCTGCTTAGCTACTGATTTGAGGATGCTGGGGAGGACGTCGTTCACCTGAAATCGGGTGAATTGTGGGTTCCACTTAGGCCCATACCCCTGGCACTGATTGCACTCTGGTTGCATGAAAGCATCTTGCCCCAAATTCCTTCCTCCTCGAAGAGACGTGGCTGTGATAGGAGCAGGTATAGTTGCTGCTGCTTTTAAGCTGTTCCAGATGGAGTGGGGCAGTTAAAACAATAAATCAGTTGAGGGGCACCATCCAACATGGCCCCCTGTAACCCTCGGAACTTGGAGGGAGACAGGAATCCAGTGGAGGGCAGAGGGAGCGATTGGGCAGTGTTCTGCCTGCCCTCTGCTGTGCTTAGGCTGCCAGGATCTCCTCCCCACTGAGGCGTGTCGCTTGGGAGGCATCCGAGAACTGCTGTCTTCCCGGCTGTCCAAGAGCGAGTCCCACCCCTTCATGAGGCATCACCCATCGTTGAGGGACACTGTTGTGAGCCCTCCTATGACTGATCCAAGCCCAAGCCTTCCTTGTATCATTTTGGCCACAACGTGGATGGATCAGCCAGCCCAGGGCTAGCATGGCCGGGTGCTTGCCAGGAGCCCACACCGTAAGGGGGGGCCCACCGAAAAGACGCCCTGCAGCGGCCCCTCGCTTTCCTGTTGCAACCACTTGTCCCTCCGTTGCTTGTGCTGCTGGACCATAGAGGTGACGAGAAGTGGGAGAAGGCAGTTCTACAGCTGTCTCGCTTGCTGGCACTCTGCTGGCCAAACAAAGGGTGGGGTGGGCGGGAAGGAGCCGTTCCTGGCATGAGAGGGTAGAGTCACTGAGGCAGGGGGCCCTTGCAGGCTGACCTGTGCATGGGCTGTCATGAACTTGGAGCCAGCTTGGGCCAGCCAGAGGCCTCTGAGGGCTCATGAGGAGGCCCTGCAGCCAACAGCCAGCCCCCTGCCGCGGTTTGTCCCCAGTGGGGCAGCCTCCAGACATGAAGGGCTGTAACTCATGGGATTTTTTCTCCCCCAGAATTTGCTCAGAATGACTCCCTTTGCCATTGCTTTTCCCTCCTATAACCAGAACCCCCTGCTCTTTGCCTCTCCCTCAAAGACCCCCACCACAACTGCTCTTCCTCTTCAAGGCGCCACAGACCCTTCCCCTCCTCTGTTAGCTGCTTGGGCAGGACTGACCACTCACACAGAGCAGTGTGTTGCTTGACTTCTTCTAGGAGCTGTTTCCTTGGAGAAGGAAGTCTCCACCTTGAAAGAGAGGCTCCGGTTGCAGGAAGCCACCATCCAAGAGCTGGGTGAGAACAAAGGAGGGGACAGGGGAGAGGGCCCCATGCTGCCCCCATATGCCCACCAGGCCCCCACAATCTTGTTTTTTCAGTGCCAGGTTGAGCCTTTCCTCTGTTCCCAGGCACTGGATGGCACATGATGAAGCTTTTTAATGTCTGTTGATTAGGTATGCGTATTTTAGTAACTGTTCCTGACTTTTCCCAACTGTTTACATTATTTTGTATCTTAAAGACTGTATAATTGTCGCTCATGTTGCATTTTAAGTGCTTAATTTTTGTGACCCAGCCAGAGAGCTTTGGCTATTGGGTGGTATAGAGATGTGACACATGAAAATGAAATGCAGGGAGACTTGAGTACAAGGTGCTAGAGAAATACTTTAAGGTGGATCTTCAATGGGCCAGCGTGGTGGAAGGCTGCCTCCTTTGTCCACGAGATGGCAAAGGCGAGCGTGGCAAGCTGGGAACGCTTGGAGCGGTAGGACTTCTTTCTGCTTAACATGCATAGCATAGGCTTCTGCCCTAAGCAGACTTGTCTACTAGCTCTGTATGCCAAAGGCACAAATCCTTCTGCTTCCGCCCACCCCCAGGTCTAACACCTAGGCGACAGCTGCACTGGATTGTGGCCATCTCATTTTTGCCACTGACTTTTGCACGGACCTGAGCACTCGGGGCATTACTGAAGCACCCTTTCCCCTGCCTGACAGCCTGCCCCCCACCACATGTCCAGGCCAAACCCTTGATCTGTTGTGCATTCTACAGAGCAGGCCAAAAGTGATCTGCTGGAGGAGATGAAGGTGAAGATGGTGGACAGGAGTGAGATGGCCAGGCTGAACGACCAAGTGGAGGTCCTGGCTAGCCAGCTGGAGAGTGCCAAGCAGCAGCTGAACTGGGCCCTCGCCGAGCGTGACAAGGAGAAGGCCAGGGTGGAGAGCATGCTCCGGCACAAAGAGGTAGGGCCAGGCCGCCCTCAGGCCGCCCTCTTGCCTTTGGCCAAGAGGTGCTTTTGTTCCCTTATGTATGCACTTATAAAACCATTCACGTTCCAAATGTTGATTTAAATCTCCAAGGTGGCTCACAATGCACTTAAGAAAAAGAAAGATGAAAATAGTGACAGATGACGACAGGAGCAAAAGCTAATAGGAGCAGTAGAGACCAACTCTGAGCCACACTAGTCATCCTTGAAGAGCTGCCCAAACACCACTGGAGCTCTCCCAGAGCCCCCGTGGCCTGATGCTGAGGTTGCCCTCTCTGCGGAGGCTCCGTACTGGGGCTGGTGTGTTGTGTTGCAGGGCTGAGTTCCCCCAAGTGCAAGGAGCACTGGCTGCTCAGCCAGTTGAAGCGAACAGCCGTGTGTACACTTCACCCAGGCGATGACTCCCGCCTCCTCCTGCAGTCTCTCCAGGCCAAGCAAAGAGGCTTAATGCAGCAGCTGGATCTTCTGGACCAGGAATGTGAGCAGCTGAGGAGCAGCCTGGCCGAGGAGGAAGAAAAGCAGTACATAATGAAGGAGCACCTGGAGAAGGTCCAGGGCGAGCAGCGGGACATCCACATCCAGCTGGAAGCCCAGCAGGTCAGTGCAGAGGTGGAGCAGGCACTCCGTGCCCCTCCTGTGGTCGTGCCGCAAGGGCAGTCCAGGCTGCACCTCGCCATGTGGGAAGATGACCTAAACTTGATTGCATCAAGGAGCCACAGGCTGCCTGCAGACTGTTCCCGGCCTCTGGACCAGTTTTGCCTGGCCCCTAATCATCCTGCTGGAGTCTGGCCCACATGCAGTAACATGTTTGTTCACCATTCCGCTCATAAAGAGGGTTTGTTAAACTTCTCTTCAGCATTTCGCGTGTCATGGCCTGTGCTTGAAACCTTTTCTCAGAATGGGCCACAGGTGAAAAATGTGCAACTTTTCTCATTTGAATGAGCCAGAGTGCGGGCGACGAATGAGAAGGGGAGTGAGCCAAACCAAGCCTTACAGCAAGGACCATGGTCCAAGGGAGCTTCAGCATCCCGGTTCGCTCACCTCTCCCCAGGTGCCCAGGGTAATTCAGCACACCCTCCTTGTTGACCCCACGGTCTCCCTTCAAATCCTGGGATGGTGCAGGGAGAGAGAATGGGGGCCAGGAATCCACTTGTTCACAGCAAGGGCAGAAACCGCAGGAAGGCAGTGCCAGCACCTGGCTTCATGTGTGTGTTCGCCCATTGTACAAATGGGAAAACTGAAGCACGGGGATCCCAACTGAAGGGGTAGATGCCAAGACTCGACTGATGAAAATGAGCCAATTGCCCCGCACTCTTTGCTCAAAACAGCGTTTTGCTGGTGCGGTTGGAGTCCCTCCTTTCTATATTGGACTTGATTAGCTATTAGAACTACTTCTCACAAACAGGTGAAATGCCTGGACTGGCCCTCCCACCCCCCAAATTGCTTCATATAGACAATTGGATGCCAGAGAGGACCTTTCAGCCCAATTTCTGTCCACACCAGCAAGCTAGTGTTCTATCTGCAAGGCGCTGTTTTTGCATGGAGCACCCCATCATGCAAGCCCCTAACTTACACCCTGCAGAAGCACAGCCTAGGTCTATATGGACCACTCTGCAGTTAATGAAAGTTTGATCGACTTCTTCCTTGCCCCTAAGGGCTTGTGAGCAAACTTTTGGCAGTACTGTCATTCTGATCCGTGGCTGTAGCATCCTGAACTGCACTCCCATCTCAACACAGACTCTTACGGAGAGGATGCGGCAGGAGAAGCTGAGCTTAGAGCAGTCTACATCAGACCTGCAAAGGACCATCTCCGAGCTGGGCGAGCTGGTACAGGAGATGAAGGAGCGGGAGAGGCTCTTGGTGTCCTTCCCAGACCTTCACATCCCTGTTGAGGCACAGTTCAGAGGTAAGGACCGGGAGCTGAGGGGAGGGGCACCACTGTCAGGGCATGTGCCGGTGTGAACAACCGGGAGGGGGGAGTGGGAAATGGGCCCCTGAACTCATGGGCCTGGATGCAAGTCACTCCACAGCCATGGACTCACTGAGGCTATGGGCAGAACTCTTCATTCATCTAAGCACCTCATCTGTGAAATGGGAACAGTGGTAACCCCAGGCTTTCTGCCAGAGCTGAGCAAGGCCCTCTTTCTGCTTGGAGTGGGGAGAGGCGGGGGCAGCCACATGTCGGACTTGAAAGGGCGGCAGTTGTGGGGTGGCTGCCTTGGGGCAAAGAACGGGCCTCAACTTCCGTGCTGCCCTGATGCTTCCATACGTGCAGCTCCCTTGTGTTTCTTTGCAGGTACTGGAGACATCCTGGAGGACATGGGGAAGCAGCTCCAGGCCAACAATATTCGCATCAGCATTCTGGAGGAAGAGAACTCTCGTCTGCGGACCGCGGTGGCCAAAATGAAGGAGACAGCACAGCAGGAGGCCCCAAAGGTATGAGAGGCATTCCCAGGGGACACCTGAAGGGCATGTCCTGAGGCAACAGGCAGGCACTTCGGATACAGAAGCAAGGCCCAAGCCAGGTACCCTATAGCTGAACATCTCAGGACAACATAATAGAAAAGAATGCAGTAAAACAAATGTGAGAATACATTAAAAGGAAACAAGCTGGTGACCTCTTTTGGAGGTACGTTTATTTGCAAGAATACTTACCTTGTAGGTGTGATCTGGCTCTTACAGTAGATAAGCAAAACCACCGCACCTGGATCAGACAAACCAAAAGAACTTGTTCTCCCCAGGATGCTGCTCAGCATTCTGCCACTCTCTTCTTGCTGTCCAAATTCAACCTTTTCTGGGCTTGACTTTGTGCTCCACCCCTCCCTGATGTGTGTGCTATCCCAGAAGCTAGAGAGCGGTTGGGTACCACCAAGATGCTTTTATGTAATGAGGCCCCTGGTCACCCATTAAATTCCCAGGTAGGAAAACCCCGTGGTGTCACAGTACTGAAAACAGCAAACTCCTGCAGTTTGGTCGGTCTTCCTGTGCCTTGGCTTCCTTCCCGGATATGTGCCTCAACGGGAAAAGTGGTTACTGCTGTTTGCAGGGCTTGGCAGTGTCAACAGAGGCGGTCCCTCCCCTCTCTAGGATGCTTGAGTCTAACAGGGCGTTCTTCTTTCCCCAGCTTGTGTTGCCTACGCAGTTGTGGATGCCGGCTACTGCAAAATCTGGTAATGAAGAGCAGGGGATGCACCACTCCGCAGGGTGAGGAGGCCAGTTTATGGTATCCATGGTGCAGGAAAGATGTACGGATGGGGCAGGAATGGAGATGGCCCATTCTTCATTTGCTTTGTGGCCTTGCTCCTTTTACAGGCATTCTGTGGGAACTAGTTTCCCGGGAACTGTGCCGAGGCCTTCCACCAATTCCAGTAAGGGAAGCGCAACCCACAACAGAGCTCAGAGTGGCCACAGCACTGGCGGACACAGCTCTGCCTCCCGAAGGGCTCCAAGTAGCCAGCAGCCAAAGTCACCTTCCAGAGGGGCTGCCCAGAAAGTTGCATTCACCTTTGCCTGTGAGGATACAGCTACCAACCTCTACATCAGGACAAAAGGGAGAGACATGGCCCTGGGCCACCCGACCCATTGCACCCGGAACCACCAGAAATAAAAGCCCCGAGAGGAATAAATGCAGAAGGTTGCCAAGGTCCTCACTGGGATTCCACCATGCGGGAGTGGTTTTGGTGGCAAAGAGAAGCCCAGTAATTGGACTGCATGGGAGCAGCCTGCCACCACTAGTTCAGCACAGCTGCTGAGGTCAGCTGGCAAAGCATCTCTGAGCTGCAAAGGCTTTTGGGTAGGTACTTGCAGCTCTTGAACTGGGAGAAATTCATCAGGGCCTCAACCTGACCTGCTCTGAGCAGCACAGTGTGTCATAACATAGCATGCCAAAACAACTCCTCCCTCGTCACCACTCTATCGTTTTGCTACAATCCCACTGCAGTTTGCAAGTACCAGAGGAGCAGAGGTTGGAAGGGGAAGAGAGCAGTTTTTCCCAGTACCCAGTCAGATTTGCACCCGCTCCTGTGCACGGATGAGGCAGGGGCAAGGGGTTCTGAGTGTAAACAGATCTCATCACAGGGAGATGCACTCCTCGGCAACACATCCTGCGGCCTGGGGCTGCTGGGACCTCTTTCTCCCTACCCTGCCATTCACATACCTTTTGTATGGTCCTGTGACTTCGTAGCACACAGCCCAGGACTCTCCTTTTCTTAGGCAGAATGGCAATGCCATTATACTGTTCTCCCCCCATGTGGAGAATGGAACAGGCCCACTCATCTTAGGGTGACGAAGGCAGGGAACCCTTGTGTAACACTGGGTAGACGCTGGACAAACGTTCTTTTCCCCAAAGCAAGAGTAAATTGAAATGGCGGCATTAAGAGAATCCCGGCTTCCCCGTTTTCCTACTTCGGTCTCTCACGAATGCAGAGAGGGTTGCACTCAGCCCGTTCTTCCCATCTAGCCAGCCGCATCGCCATGAGAACGATGTCAGACTAATACAAGGAAAGCCTTAGGACAGCAGGGCGGCAGGCAGTGATTCAAAGTGTGCATGCGAACAGAAGCTACATGTAGTGCACCCATGACATCAGTGATAGACGTAAGCTGTAGAGGTACACAGACACATGCCGTGCTGCTCCAGACAGACCGGACGTTGCCTGCTGCTTTAAAAACGAGGAGGGACAGGAAAGGCTCCAAGCATTCAAGAACTGGAGCCACCACTGTGAAGGTTCTATGCCAGGAATTCCTGAAAGCAGCTATGGATGTGCTGTGCCTCATCGATGGTCCCAGACCCTCTTCAGAGGAGGGTCCTCTGATCTGGCCCACCCTCCTCATCAGCCTCTCCTGCATGCGCATCAGTCTACTGAGATCATCAATCACACCTGCTGCAAGGTGACAACATAATCCGTCCTCTGCACCAGCTGAAAGTTGAGCCTATGGTGTGCTAGCCACTGTTTGGGCTAACATTCCTGGCAGGAAGCATGCCCAGGATGGAAACTTGTGCAGGGAAGCTGCTCTGAGGTGAGTAATTCCTTAAGGTGTATTGTGGTGTCATGTGCCATCCAGCTGTCTTTGACTTGTGCAGGCCCTGTGGATGGGCATCTGCCAATATGCCATCCCAGATGGCCCTGTTCAGCACTTGTCAACTCAAGCTTGCGGCTTCCTCTGTGGAATGGATCCTTCTCATATTTGGTCTTCCTCCTCCTCCTCCAACTTTCCCTAGCATGATGCGCTTCTCCAGGGAGTCTTTCCATCTTATGATGTGCCCGATGCACCTCAGCTGGCAAAAGGTGTGGGGGCCGTTTCTCTGTGTAGCCCAGCTGAAACGTTGTGCCATCAAATCATAATCTGAAGCAGGGACTCCTCTGATGCTCTTGGCAGAGGCACGGGCAGCTGGGGTCAGGAGCCGCTTTCTGCCCGAGGCCTTCCCCTCAGAGCGCCTGATGGCTGCATTCCAGTGGAGCGGGAGGCGAGAGGAACCGGCATTACCAGACCATTTCTGACACTCTGCGCACCAGTAAATAAGCCCTAACAAAACCACCATGTCAACATTTTAGAAGTGGAGTGGGGGAAGAATGGCCAAAGCCGATGCTGCTCAGGGGGCATGGCTGTGGTGCTGAGCGGGCTTGCCTGGCCTGCACCCCAGGGTCTCAATCCCTGCTCCAGGGGGAGGTGGCAGGCCAGGTCCTTGAGGCTTCTGTGTTAAAAACCCAGCATTAATTGAAGCAGGAGCCCCAACGCGGAACTCCATCCTTTCAGGTGTGTGTCCCTGTTGGGATTCCTGCTGCCTCCTGCAGTTCATCAGCAGGCCTGGGGGCTGGCTGCCTCATCAGACTCTTCCAGGCCTGAGACAGGAAGCCACATGGCACCCCAAGGTGGGATGGAGCAGGAAAACTCACACAGGTTTCTCTTTGCTTTGTTTTTATTAGTACAGGTGGCTTTCCATGCCGGGCCCTCTCTTGGATGGGTTCTGTGGCAGCTCGGCAGCCATTGCTCAGCCCCTGCAGTCGCCTTCAGCCCTTCTAATAAGTTAGTATAAATAAGCAAGCATTTTGGTTCCCTCCCACCAGCTCTCAAGAGCAGCGCTGCTCTCCACCTCATGGTGTCAAAACAAATGACGGTTGTGAAGGTACAAACAGCCAGGCCTGCTCCCTTGCAAACAGCCAGGCCACCAGGTCGGAGCACTTCCCCCAGCCTATGTTAAACCTGCACAGGGGTTCCGGTAGATGCACCAAAAGGGCGATAATGGATTCAGTTCAATGTGCAGACACTCAGGCAGGCCCAAGGACAGACGTACACACTATTTTACAGACACCCAGTTCCCACCAGGGGGAGCCCGAAGGGCCAAGTACGTTTCTTCTCTTCGGCCCGAGCAACCCGAGGCAGCACAAGACGTGGCAGAGCCTAGTCTCTCCCCTGGGGCACAGGAAGGTCCATCCTCAAGGACAGGCCACCCTCTGGCTAGCTGTCTTGGCAACAGGTGCCTGGAAAGCAAAGCAGATGAGGGAGATTGTATTAGAAAGGCGGGGGAGGGCAGTGATCCACAGGGGATGGGGGAGAAGGCCTGGGTCTCTAGTGGGGGAAAAGCCATGGCAGACATGGACAGCTCACAGAAGGGCAGAAAGGGAAATTCAGATCTAAGGGCAAGTACCTGAGAGCATGCAGAGTTCCCTTTTGCTGCGAGATAAATATGCTTGCTATCTTTTTAAAGAGTACTCTTTGAAGAGTGAAGTGCTTCTTGCACTGGTTTCCCCCTTCCCTTCGCAGTGGAAGCAGCAATTCAAAGGGGGAAACCAGTGCAACAGGCACATGCCAATGAACTGGAGTGTCCTCCACCCCAGAAGAGAGTAGCCTTTTCTTCCTAAGAAAAACTTGGGAAGTAGAGAAATGACAGAAAGGATAACAGAAAGTAGCCAACTGGCGCTTTCTGCCCTCACGTTCTGGCAACAGGCCAGCAAAAGGAGCAGCCAGGGCAGATGACGCAGATGTGGGACCCTCCTGGGCACCCCCCATAGCCAGAGTAACTCCTGGGGCAGACTTTCACAACTTAGTGCTATCTGGACACCAAATCCCATCAAGCTTAGCCAGCAGAGCTAATTCAGGGAACTGTAGTCCAAAATGCCAGGAAAGCACCAGGCTGGGAAGGTTGCTCTGGGAATAGCAGGACACGAGAAGGGCCAGGCTGGAGCAGAGCAAGATCCAGCTGGTTCAGGGCTCTGTTCTCACAGCAGCCAGTCATCTGTCAGTAGGGTGGGCTAATTGCATTTATATGCTGCCCCATAGTCAGGCGGCTCTGTGTAAGATCCCACAAGCAGGACATGAGCGCAAGAGTACCCTTGTGTCCATGTTCCCCAGCAACTGGTCTGCCGTACAGAAGCATACTGCCTCTGATATGCAGGTAGCATAGAGCCATCGGGACGGGTACCCGCCGGTAGCCCCCTCCTCCAGGAATGGTCCCAGTCCCCTTTTAAAGCCCTCCAAATTGGTGGCCATCATCCCATCTCCTGGAAATGGAGCTGGGCTCTGCACTGTGGGAGGAAGGTCTGCCTTTCCTCTGTCCTGACTCCCCCACCAAGCAGCTTCCTGGGATGACCCCGGTGGGTTCTAATATTATGAAGCAGAGGGGATGCCGCCTTATTGTCTTTCTCCACACCACATATAATTTTGTACAGCTCTGTCCTGCCTCCCCTCTAACTGAGCAATCAACAACTTGCGGAAAAGCTAATAAGGCATATGAGAGAGGTTTTTACATTTGTGGATAGACTCACACTTTGAAAACAGACTGGATGCCAGGCGGCCTATGGCAGTGACTAAGCCTGCCTCGCAGACCCCCTCTGCGCTCGCCTCGCAGGCAAGCCCTCGGCTGGAAGCTTCTGTGGCTGCCCCACAGGCTTTTGCAGCTGCCAGGGTTTCCTCAAGCAAAGGAAATCAGAAAGAGGCTCTTCAAGCCTCGAGGAAGCCCCTCTCCCAGCTGTGGCTTTGGCCCCACAAATTCAGAGCGGGATGGGGAACAGCTGAGTTAACATTCCAATCCGGGACAGGAACGGCTGGCCTTGCAGCGGGTGGGGGACTTACCTAGAATGTTGTGTTTGCAGAGGGGGCAGGTCTGCTGGAGCAGCAGCCACGGGTCCACACAGTCCCGGTGAAATTCATGCAGGCATGGCAGCACTCGGAGACACTGTCAAGCAGGTTGAGACAGACTCAGCAGGCAAGAGGCGGCTTTGGCTTTCAAGCAGAGCACCTGAGGCCGGCACAGGGCCTCCTGAGCAGGCAGGCAGGCAGGCAGCCTGTTCCCTCACAGTGAGCACCTTTGATCCCACTGCTGCAGGGCAAAGCTTCTGGATCCCCTTTCCACTTCAAACAACTTGGCCCCACATGAAGGGGGGCGGGAGAGAGCCAAGGCGCTCACACCTCCTCTCACTTCTGCTTCCAAATTTGCAAGAGGGAATAACCTCCGCGTGGCACAGCAGCATGATGCATGTTCAACAGGGCTGTTACCTCATTAAAGAAATTTCTGTTGCTTCCCTGTGTGAGTTGGCAATTAATTTCTTTATTGGAATATTATGTAAGCATGGATAAGCAGCAGAAGGGCTTCACTGTGGAAGAGGCCTTCCCCCTCCCCCGAGAGAAGGCAAGGAGTTGCCCCACTGCTTTTGCATTAAAGCCGGGGGGGGGGGCTGCTCTGCTACCTGACCAGTCAGCAGCACCAGTTCATCTAATCAGAAACTTTTACAGTGTGATCCTCTGTATGCTTAGGAAGATCATCCTATGAGTCCCCCAGCATGCTCCAGCCAGAAATGCTGGGACTGTGCCTTTAATTAAAGCAGGAGCACACAACCTCTCTGGCCGTGAGGGCCGCATACACACAACCGTATTCCTCATATAGATGCTTTGCTGCTGGCAGGAGCAAGGGAAAAGTGATTGCTAAGAGGCCTTCTGGAGAAAAGGGGCGAGAACAGGCAGCAGGGACATCATCAGGGGGAGGCAGAATTTGGGCGGGGAGAGGCCAGGGCGCCTCCGTGGCAAAGACCTTGGGGGCTGCAGGTTGTGCACTCCTGCATTACAAGTTGCAGCCCTGGTGGTAAGGCGAGCCCACACGGTGTGGGTGCTGGCACACACACCAGGTCTGGCATGATCACCCAACTGCCTCTGAACTGAGGCCCAGAACTCCTGACATGCTTTACAGATACTGACCAAGCATGAAGGACACAGGGCCCTGCCTGCATTAATCGTGCCCCTTTCCGTCACTCACTCACTCACTCACTCACTCACTCACTCACTCACTCACTCACTCTGTGGCAAGCGCTATGTACCTGATTCTTGTGGAATCGGTCCAAGCAGATGGCACAGCTGTCGATCTCATGAGCCCAGCTCCGGGGTGGCTTGCCAGGGTGGTAGCGCCGGGTTTTCAGAGCAGACAGCCTCTGCGCAATGTGCTGCTTGAGATCCAGCTGTGGGAGGTGAGTCCAGGATTAGCCCCCACCTTCAATCTTCACGCCAGGGGTGAGCAAGGGAGAGGCAGGGCGGAGAGGGGACCCACCTCGGATTCCTGGTCCCGCCGGCTGTGCCGGGACTGCCGCTGCGCCTGCATGATGACGCCTGTGCACAGGACCAAGGCGATGAGCAGGATGGCATTCCACAGCTGCTGGAGATACTTCTGCAAGAAGAGCCCCCATGAGCTGCGTGGCCCATGTGGCACCACCCAGGCCCGAGAGAGTTCACTGCCCAAGCTGCCACTGGCATATTGTTTCTCAGGGAGGCTGATGGACAGATGCTGGCATCAAGTCTGCCAAAGTAATCACTGCAGCTCAAGGCGAGCTGCCAAACTGCCTTTTAAAAAAGGATCCCATTTCCTTACAAGACAGCTAATCATGCAATTGTTCCTCCTCTTAACTGGTAGCCATGCTGTGCTTCTCAGTCACTTCCATTTTGTGGATGCCAGTCCAGTGCCCGCTCCATGTGGTGTAAGCCCTACTCCAAAGAGCAGTACATGCCTTTCAAAGAACCTTTAAATTTAAACAGGTCTCTCAGACAAGATGCTCTGAACCTGTGGTTTGATTAAATGAGACCTCTTAGCAGCATTTTATCGCCCTGAAAAAACTGGCGTTCCCAGGGATCTTTTGAGAAAAGGAACTATACTGAAAGCAGTTTTGAACCAAATTCACATTTGTTGAGCAGACAAGCTCAGACACTGCATCAGAGCAGATGAAGCAGCACCGTGATAATTATTTTAATCACAATTACACACACACCACACACACAGAGCATGATTGTGCTTCCAGGGTGAAGGGGAAGTGAGACCATCGCAGGCCTCTGCAGCATTGCCTGCAACCCACCAATTCAGCTATGGGCTAAAGCTTTGTTAGCAGACCACCTGGCTTCTTCACAAACCTGGACTCGGGAGCTATTCTCTCCAGTACAAATGACTCCCTGCCACTCTCCATACAGGCCACCCCGGGAGAGGCCACACGTGGACCACAGAGTCAGCGTCACCCCCTTAAAGAGAAAACACGGGGGGGGGGGGGGTTAGGCTAAAGTCCAGTCACCGAAATGCAGGAAGGAAATTCACTTGCAGGAGGTCTGATTTGAGACTCCACATGGACACAAATACAATGGAGTGTTCCAAGACCTTTTTCTGGACTAGTGGCCGTAACCACTTGGAGTACCCGTTAGCTATCCTGTCTGCCTGTGGCTGGAGACCAGCCGCTCCCAGGGTGGTTCCAAACCCCCTTGCAGCAAACATACCCAGCACCCCTCCAAGGCTGGTCCAACGGTTTTACACTCTGCCCCCAGCCTCTGGGCCCTTTAATAACCTTCCCCAGCAGGTCAGGCATTGTCCTCTCAGTAACGCCCCAGGGAGCACACCAATGCAGTGCATAGCACCACTCCCAGAGGACAGCACATAGCATACGGCACAAGGCTGAAGACAAGCCTCGGGACCCTCAGGCCCAAGGCCAGACCTGGTACTCCGGGAATTTCAGTGTGGGCCTCCAGGGAGCCCTGGGTGGCCACTCCCTCCTTTCCCAGCTGCCAACCCCTTGGTGGTCCCGTAGCTTTTGGGCTGGACTTTCTGGGCTGCTGCACTGAGGCTCCTGCATTCTCAGGGCATGCCAGTCCCTCCCCCAAAGTGTCCAGGCATGCACACCCATCGTGCCGTCTCTCCTGCATGGGGCCAACCCAGAAGCTTCTCCCCAGTCTCATCTGTTGCCATCTCGCATCGAAAGAAAGCACCCACAGCCCCTCTGAGGAGCCCGGCCACCCTCCAGAGCCACAAATGAGTGAGGGGAGGAGGGGGTCCAACAGCCCTGCTGCAGCAGCAGGGGGAATACCGGAACACCCAGGCGTCTCACAGGCAGGCCAGGCCTGGGCGGATGGGCTGAGCAGGAGAGGCTGCTGACCGCCTGGCCCCTCTGTTTCTGAGGCCAGAGGGCAGGCAAGGCAGGGGCAGCGTTTGGCCGCCCTGCCAGGGCTGCAGTAATCCCAGGGCTATTCCCGTGCGAGTGCATGCGTGGGAGTGCGCACAATGGTGCGAGCGAGAGAAGGTGCAGACGACGACGTGGCTCTAAGGCCGTCTGGACACCACCAAAGCAGCGAGAGGAAGGCAGACCAAACTCGCTGCGCCTCAGGGGTGCCGATGTTCAGCTCAATGGGGATCCCAGACCTGGCCCTCAGGGGGGCTCCTGGACTCGCCCTTTTCCACTGACCACCCCATTACTCAGTGATTGCCAGGACTATGCACCCATCTCTGCGGTGGCGCCCAGACTGTGGAATGTGCTCCTGGCACCGAGCCTATATTCTTTTTGGCACCAGGTTAAATCCTTTTTATTTAAATGACATTTTAAGAATTAGAGTTTTTAGATTATAAAACTTAACAGTCACATTTTATTTTATTTCATTTTATTTACTTTATTATTTTATCCATTGTTATTTATTTTTTCATGCTTATGATTTATTCTCTTTTATGATTGGTTTAATGTTATCCTGTTAGTAATTATTGTATTTATCATGATCTATTTATTGCTATTTATTATATTATGGGTTCTATTTTTTATTGTTTTGATTTTATACTCTGTAAGCCATCTTGAGATGTTTGTGAAAAGAAGGGATAAAAATGTTTTATTAAATTAAAATTAAATTAAATTCTAACGGGCAGCCATGCCTCTCCCAAGACTTCCCTCCAGCAGGAAGACCTTTAGCATAAAGCTCTGCTAATCTTTTTCCTTGCTCCCCTGCCCTCCCCACCACTGAACTGCGCCTCCTGAGAGCATCTTCAAAAGTGAATTTGGCGCCCAGCTCAAGGATAAGGCCACTTCCTGCATCCTTGCCCGGCTAGTACATACCACGTTCTCCAGCAGCACTGCTTGGTACGTAATCTTGGCTGTGGCCTGAAGACCCCTGCCAGCACAAGGAAATTGAGAATGATCAGAGCCATCAGTGAAGAAATGAGGACGGAGGCCAGTGAGGACGCTCTCTCGGCAATGGGATCCCACCACCACAGTCCCCAAGCAGCCCAGAACAGGGCATGGCCAGAGGCTGGTGGCTCAAGGGCGGAGCCGCATTCAGCAAGTAACTATCAGGAAGCAGAGGAGGGGGGGACACTTCTTTGTCTGAAAGGCCCCAGAGCCCCTTCCAGTCCAAGCAGGCAAAGCCATGCTGAACGGGCTAATACCCTAGGCGAGTCTAGGGCAGCTTACAATGCCGCTTTCTTGGTCAACTGACTTGTACCTGACAGGGCCCAACTTTCTTTGTTAAGCCAGGTTAGAAAAGCTCCAAGTCGAGAAGGTATAAATGCTTCCAACTTCCCAGATGCAAGTACAGGGTGGACCTGACCCCCCTCAGCCCACCTGCTGCGTTCCCAGCCGGACTCACCGCAGCAGTGCTCCAAGAAGCTTGGTAACATTTTCAGAAGTCTGGACGACAATCACAGGCTTTGAAAGAACCTGGGAGACGTCCAGCTGCCGGGGGGGGGGGAGAAAGGGTCAATCAGCAGGGCTGAAGGTCCTGCTCCTCCAGACCACCAGGGCTCACAACAGCTCCTTGGCCCCCTGCGACAGAGGTGCAAGGTGCAAGAGCAACAGAGCTTACCTCTCGGATCGTGTTCTGATTCAGGGCGAGGATGAGCAGAGCTGAGGCTCCCAGAACCAGGGCCCGCTTCATCTGCGCAAGAGGAAACCACAGAGAGGCGTCAAGGCAGCCCTGCCCACTCAGGCGGCGCTGGCAGGCTATGCCGAGAGCCGTCGCCCAACGCAACTCGAGTGTGGCCCTAGTTGGGGAAGGCCGCGCCCGAGCCACGGCTCTTGCGGGTGGGGGAGGAAGCGTGCCCCTTGCTTCTCCTTCCGAGGTCTGCACAGCCTTCTTGCAGGACAAGTGCTATGGCTGCAGAGCTGGATGCTGATCACTGCTCCTTCCCCGTGGGCAGCATCAGCAGCCTGATCCAAAGCATGCTTACTCAGAGGTTAGGCCCTCGGGATGCGTCTGACTGCAGTGCCCCTCAATCTCCCAGGGTCCTTCTGAGACTGCAGTGTCCTCACCGAGGGTTCCCCTTTGGGATGTTTTCACCCTGAAAATGTGTCTGTGTCCTTGCCGCCCTGGGGGCTCCTCCAAGCGTGCTGGTACCTCCCTATTCCTCCTCCTGGCTGCACAAGTGATGGCACTCCTAGGGCATGATGCTCCTGAGGACTGATGGCTGAACCAACTTCAGAAAGGAGGTGCAAGAATCACCGTGGTGTGATCTCATTTTATGGCGGATCCTTCACCCAAGCAGGTGCCTCAAGCAGCTGAACCAGCCCCAAAGCAGAACGCTGGGCCAGGAGAAAGTGCGGGAGACACAGCTAGAGTAAGCAAGGTGATGCAGCTGTTGCCCCAGTGATGCAGATGGCAGCCTGGCCCACACTGCAAGTACTTGCAGGACTGCCGTCAGATCTGTAGGTGCTTCCAGTGCAATCCTGCAGATCAGCTGGGAGTTAGAGGTGGCTCTGTAAAAGGGTTCTCAGGCCCCTGAGGTGCCTTCCATCTCCAGTTTTACACTGTCTTGACTCCTGTCTGTTGCTGACCCTGCCTTTGCCTCTGGTCGGCCTTGCCTTGCCTTGCCTGGTATCTGACCCTTGCCTGCTCGTCTGAATTCGCCTTCACCTCTAGTTCTGCCATGCCCTGCCAAGCCCTCCAAGCCCCGGACGTGGTGTTCTTGCTGGAGGGACGTGCTGCTTGTGTCCCGCAGTGGATGTACCTTGTTGACCACAGCAGTGGTGAAGGACTCTTCTTTGTTGCCCCTCGCAATCTCGGCCTGTTCCTCCCCAACTGGGACGACGCCGATCCAGCTGTCATCATCTTCAAGCTCGGGATCCATATCCCCCACCTAAAAGAGAGTGGCGGCATCTGTAGCTGACTCCACCCACAGCGCATGCTGCCTTGCCGACTCCAGAGCCTTCAACCCGAGTTCTTGCTACTGGCCCAGGCCCAGAAAGCAGGGCTGGACTGCCCCTCAAGTTACTCTGCGTTTCTGCCAGAAGCTTTGCAGTCGGCTCTTATCATTTCTGCTTTAGGAACCAATGCTGGTTGAAAGATACAATGCAGCTATTCATAAACATAATCTGGCGCGATCCGATTCTGTTAGAATTTGTTAGATCCCAGTCCTATGAATGTTTGGACAGATAAATTCCAATAACCCCCAACATTCCACAGCTAACATACCATCCATGGGGGTTCCCTTCTAAGGATGAGTGCCCCCCATCTCAAAGTAACTGACTTGCAGACAGAGAAGGGGATGGACCCTTCCCCCCGGGGACTTCTGGGTGAAATGAGGAGGGTTGTTCCATACTCTTATAGAGCTCTTGAGAAGGGCTGGGAGTCATTTTTGCGGTGCACACAAAATCCCCAGCTCAGTAATTTTCAGGGAAAGGCTGAAAAACAGGGTACATCCCAGGAAAGGAAAAAGGGGGGTAAGAGGGCTGAGGTCACTTGACTGGCAAAGGAACAAGAAGGCTGCTGTCCGAGTGGGAAACCCTCTGGATGGGGGGGGGGGGCAGATTCAGCGGGTAAGGGATAGCTGCTTGGTTTTTGGCAGGGAGCGCAAGGGGGAATCATGCCCTCAGGGTCAGGATTGGGTCTGGATAACTTGAACAGCTCATTGTTGCAGGCCCAAAAGGAGATGCCTGTGGAGGGGGCTGTTCTGTGATTTTTGGTGGAAAAAATAAAGGGGATCCCCTCTATAAGAGGAGATTCAGATAGACATTAAAGTTGTCACTTGATTTCTGGGGTCAAGGATTTTGGGGGGAACCCCACCAATTGACCTCAATTGCAGACCCCTGGGCAACCATCTGATTTTTGGTGGGAAAGAGGGAGAAGTGAGGTCCTACCAGCTGGAGAGAAGGTTTGGGAGCAGAGAAGGGAAAAGAAGGCGGAGGGGTAGAAAGAGACTAAACGGCTTTCCTCTGATTAATGATGTGGGAGAAGGGGACCTCCTAGAGAGGGGACACCCCAGCACCCTCCAGCAGACCTGTTCTTTCTTTGGTGGAGGGGGATGTGCAAGGGGGGAGATTTATTTGCTTTTTGGGGGGAGGAACCCACCTGATTGGGGGCAAGACTCCAGGCCATCCTTTTGGAGTGCCCGGGTAGGGCCAAAATAAGGTCCCAC